GTAAAAATCTGATGTCTGTCTTCGATAAGACCGAGTAAAATGGATTGAGAGCTGTACACTGTACGGTTGTAAACCTTGAAAACTCCGCAAATCTACCCGAGTTCAGGAATGCCCAGTCTGGGATTCGAACCAAGGCCATGTTCCGTAGTCCACCATGATACCAACTTAGCTAACGGAGAAGGGTTGTGAAGACAAGATACGACATTGGGTCATGTACCTATTTTTTGCGTCCTGTCTCCGCGGTTTTATGCGCACACAAAAAAAATGCTGAAATTATGCAAACTGAGCACAAAAATGTGAAATTATGCGATTCTGTTAATTTTAGCAAAGAGTGATGAAGGAAAATAATCAGAAGTTATGCGAACAATTATCAAATTTTGTTAAATTATGCGGGGTGCATAAAACCCCGGGGACTGACAAACTAAGAACAAAATTCAATATATTCGATTTGTTTCGAAGATCTGAACTCACGACCGTTACGTCTTGACAGTGGTGTAGGGGTCGGCGCTCTTCCTTCAAAGCCTGTCACGTTGACACCTGACATCTAGGAAAAGAGCGCCGGGTTGGCCGGCTTGCGGTATGATATTATTACCCGACTCAAAACTTGATGGATCTCCTGGGACCTACTGGGGAGGTGTGAACTGTCGTGTCGTCATAGTTAGAGGTGGGCAAAATCCGGATAATCGGATAATCTTCAGTAAGACCTTATCCGAATTCAGACTCTAAACTCTTTTTCCTGGTCCGTTTGCCGAAGTAGGTGCACCCATTTGTTGAAGTGATGCTAACCCGTTTCTCAAAATGGTTCTAACCCATTTGCAGAATCGGTTCATAACATATTATTTACCGAAGAAATGCGCTAACAATTTTGTACTAACAAATGATCCGGATTTTGCTAAAGCGACTCATTGCCCAGCCCTAGTCATAACTCTGAGCCGTCCTAATGGTTTTAACGTCTGTGTTTACCCGAGGTCTACCGGGTGCCTCTGTTGTGTCATTGCTTGGGGGCTGGGTGGTATGTCGGGCATAGAAAGTAAATCAGTAACTGTTGGGATCATGCGGGTTGGGGGAGGGGGGAGGGGGGCATGGCTAGTCGTGTTACGGTTCTAGTTATGATAGCTTCCTGGTGCTTTCTACTCATGTTGTGTGGGCCTGTTTTGCAAGAGAAGATTGTTTTCCTTTTAGTATGAGTTTTACGGCACTTGCAACACAATAAGGTCATATAAGTGCCGAAGATTATTAGAAGTGTTACAAGAGAGTAACAAACATAAAAAAGAAGGAAGAGAGAAAAGGATGATAGATGTTTGATAGGAAAGAAGGAGCAGACCACACCAGAGCACCCGCCAACTACTCACCAAGAGGAGGGGGGGGGGGAGACGGGTTCTTTCGAAAGGGATTTCTTCAATCTTCTGTTTTCTGTCGTACTTAGCTTGTTTTTGTTCACTTGTATAAACTATTTACTAAATTTCCTGGAAATATCATTTTTTGTTATATATTTGTTCGATGGAATGTCGAAAAGCTTGGTGATTTTTCTCTTTCCCTCTTCTCTCTTTATCTCTCTCTCTCTCTCTCTCTCTCTCTATCTCTCTCTCTAT